GAAATTTGATGAAAACATTTAGAAATGTAATGTTTCCTAACCTTTGAAAAATACTTTGCATATAATAAATAATTTATTTTTTGAAATATAAAATAAAATGTAAAAATAGAATAATTAAAACATTTTTAAAATATCAATTTTGATTTATGATTTTAATGAATATTATAGATTTTTATTTTTTTAAACATCATTTTTAAAAATAAATACATTAAAAAAATCAAGAAAATGTATACGTTTTAAATAAAAAACCCCACATTTAAAATCACTGGTTAAGGTCACTTTTGAAATCACTGATTCAAGATTGTAATGAATATTATTTAGCTCTTTTCAGAAGCATTCTTACCTTTCTTAATCTCTTTCTCCTTCTTGAAGACCTTGCCTGTTTCGGCAGTGATGAAAGCATCTCCTTTCTCGCATAGGCTGAGGACAGACACACCAGGCTTGGCTGCTTCGATGACCACCTTCAAAGCCTCTGAAAAAGAAAGATTTCACATTAGACAACCAAATTTCATACCCAACAGATTTGGAAGCTCTCCCTAAAGCACTATGTGACAGGACCCGGTCTGAAGAAGATCAATACACATTAAATCAGTAAGCACTTCTAGTAAAAAGAAAGAAATTGAAGATTTGCGTAGCTGACAGTAGCTAAAACTTTCTCAGCACCTGCCAATAAATCTACTGGACACTTTTTTACATTACTGTGGCGTAATACCTACTAATATATATATATATATATATATATATATATATATATATCTGCTGAATTAACTTTAGTACTGGACGTCGGGCAGAATGACAGGGTCAGTCGCCACTCACTCTCATCGTAAAGAACAAGCAATGAAAGTGAATGGTGACTCAGAGGCTGTCAGTCACTTAACGTTGTGTCAAACATGTCCTATTGTGGTTAATAGTCATGCAGGTTTAGAGTAACATCACGGTGAGTAAATAATGACAGAATTTTACTTTTGGGGTGAACAACCACTTTAAGTCGGTACGTTACAACTACAGCTAACTGGCTAACCTGCTAGCCGAATATTTATAAACATAAACAACGCTCTTAAGATTACAAAACGTCTACTGCTGATGCTTATCCGCACGATTTCAAGTTAAGTCAAGTCAAAAAAACTACAAAATGAATGGCATCTATGTCTATCTCACTACAGCTCGCAGACACATGGCCGAGCGCTGAGCTGCATCACCGCTCGGTCAAAATCAACCCTTGATCACGCATAAAGCTCCAGAATCAATCTTACGGTTTGCTATGTCGGCCCCCATCTTGTACTTGGTGACCACCAAGTCATCAGAGATGGTGTGCTCTTGCTGGTCGTCGTCTCCTGACATGCTTGTCAGCGGTGGGATTCAAGAGGAGCTCGTAACTTTTTCCCTCGCTTTGCTTGTGGGATGATGGAGCACAGCACGCTGCTTCAGATCTCACAGCCTGCGCCAGCAGCAGCCGTGGAAACGCGCAAGATGGCCGATTACGGCGCCGCACTTCAAAATAAAAGCCGCAGAGCTGCGGATAGACTGACAGAGTGACCTCTGCGGGAGCTCGAGGAAATTATATCTCGTCATTAATTTTCCAGTTTGGCATAGAGATGTCAAAGAGTGTTTTACGTACAAACAAAGCATATTTAGGATAAATCTTTAACATCTTACATTTCTCTTTCTCTCAGGTTGGGCGGGGTGGGGGCACTGGTCAGCTCATTTCAAACAACTGGAAATACTCAACCCACTCTCCTTTATGCAATTATAACTCATTTGAATCTCATGCGATTACTATAACAGCTCCTATAAAACTCTAGGTTGTGGTAATTTACCGCCCTCCTGGGCAAATTCTACGCACCTTCCTAGAGGAGCTGGATTGGCTGCTGTCCTCATTCCTGGAGGATGGCAGTCCACTTTTAGTCTCTGCGACTTCAACATTCATCTGGACAAGCCTTATGCTACAGACTTCCATTCACTCCTTGCTTCACTACAAGCATGCACAAATCAGGCAACCAACTTGACTTAATTTACACAGGCAATCTGTACTGCAGACAACATTTTGGTAGAACCCCTATATATCTCTCTGACTATTTCTTCATTACATTTAAACTACATTTTGCTGCCTGTATGCCACCAAGCCCTATACCGGTTACTTTTAGACGAAACCTACGCTCCCTTTCAACTTCCCATCTTTCCTCTGTAGTATCCTCCTCTCTTCCCTCACCCACCCATTTCTCATCTCTGGATGTGAATGCAGCAACTGACACTTTATGCTCTACTTTGTCTAGATGATATTTACCCTCTCTCCTCCAGGCCAGCACGGGCTGTCCCTTCTAACCCCTGGTTATCCGATGTTCTTTGTGAGCATCGGACCAAACTCAGGGCAGCAGAGAGAAAATGGCGCAAATCAAAAGATCCGTCAGACCCGAGTATGTATCTGCTTTCATCTTTCTCTGCTGAAGTCCATACTGCCAAATTTTCATATTTTCACAACAAGATCATCAGCGCTCCAGTCACACGTAATCTCTTCAAAACATTTCATTCTCTCCTCTGTCGCCCTCCACCACCTCCCACCACTTCTATAACAGCTGATGATTTTGCCACATTCTTCACAGACAAAACCAGAACAATCAGTATCCAATTCTCAGCCCCACACACAGGACCTCAAACCAACCACACCCACTGCAAAAACTCCCATCTTCTCCTTCTGTCCCCTTACTGAGGCAGAAGTATCAAAACTTCTGCTCTCCAGCCATCCTACAACATGCCCTCTAGACCCAATCCCCTCACACCTCCTCCAAGCAATCTCTCCTACACTTTTACCATCATCAACACATCTCTCCTCACAGGCACTTTCCCCACAGCATTCAAGCAGGCTTAAGTAACCCTTTCTTATAGACAGCTACAGACCTGTCTCTCTCCTTCCATTCATAGCGAAAACCCTCGAACAATTTGTTTTCAACCTGGTATCATTGTTTCTTTCACAGAACAACAAACTGGACGCTGTGAGACTGTGTTAAGGCCCGTTCACACGATATAGTTCTAAAAATCGTTCTCAATATGAAAGAATAGCATAGTTCACACCACAACTATAACGATAACGATACAGAGGAACGATATCGTTGTGATCACTTTCAAAACGATTTTTTCCCAGCTGATGAACGATAAAACACTGACAGCCAATCAGAATCCATCCTGCTGTAACGAGCTCAAGAATTTAAAGCGGCAGACGCGAGTGCGCTTAGAATAAACAGACGATATCGTTCGCTGGTGTGGACGCTAATATCGTTATCTTTATAGTTATCTTTATAGTTATCGTTCTTGGTGTGAACAGGGCTTTACTGTCAGTCATGGAAGCTGTGTGGATTGCAAAAGCTGATTCCAAATCATCAGTCCTTATTCTGCTGTATCTATCTGCTGCTTTTGACACTGTCAATCATCTTCTTGGACCCCTCCTCTTCTCCATATACATTACATCTCCTTCTCCTACCTTTGCTATGGTGATGACACACAGTTCTATCTCTCATTTCAACCAGATGATCCAACGGTAACTGCACAGATCTCAGGCTGCCTGGCGGACATCTCTGCATGGATTCTTGTCTTCCCTGCCTCTTCAACTCTACAGCATGATTTCACCATCCAGCTAGGTTCTTCTACAAGTACCCCATCAACTTCGGTCTGCAGGCTCAGTACAGCCTACTTCCACTCACTATTACAAATCTACATCCCCTCTAGAAGTCTGAGATCCGCTAGTGAGCGACGCCTCGTGGTACCATCACAGAGAGGCTCAAAATAATTTTCCAGAACATTCTCGTTCACCATTCCTGGCTGGTGGAATGATCTTCCCACCCCTATCCGGAATGCTGAATCCCTGACAATTTTCAAGCAACAACTGAAAACTCATCTATTTCGATGCTACTTGACTTAAAAACTCTTTATTTATTCCTTCCCTTTCTAGCTTGTACTTATTTGAACAAATACCTGAAACTTGGTATTACGAGCACTTCCTGTGTCTTTTTGCCTCTTTAAGAAGAATCGCTTCATGTATTCCCCAATTGTAAGTCGCTTTGGATAAAAGTGTCTGCAAAATGACTAAATGTAAATGTACATTTTTGTTAAAGTTAATTAAAATCCTTTTATTTTTAGTTTTTTTTTGTTTGAAACTTTTATTCTCTGAATAATCGGAATCATTTCAATATTTATTGTGTATCACACGCACACATAAGAAAAACTCATAACAAATATCATGGCAAATATTTTTATTGTGCGCAATTTCCTGTCCAATCAATCTGTAATTTTTTCAAAAACTGGAATACAAATGGAACTCTTAAAATAACTATTTTATTGCCTTCATCAGATTTTGTGTTGTCTCTATTCTCAAAGTAACATGCATGGGATTTGTATGAAATTACAGTTACAATAGTTTGCACTTTAAATGTGCCATTTGTTGTAATTTTCAAGCAACTTGTTGAGTTTATCGTGGTTCATGAAACGACTCTAGATCTGCTGTTTATCAGACTGTGAGTATGTTCATTTTATTATTTATGTGAAGAAATCTAAATCTGACAATGTATACATGTCATTGAGCTGGGCTGGTTTCAGATGAACAAACGAATGACTTAAAAGTCGGTTCATTTTAGTGAATCAAAACACTGGTGGTTAAAGTAAATCCTAAATTGTCATGTTCGACTTGAAAACCAAATGTAGTTGTTAATACTAGTAAAAGCAGACATGTAAAGATTATAAGTTGTGTTGATAACTGGTAGGCGATTTTATGATCCAATGTAAACCATGATCTAAATTCAGTTTTTAGACCCTTTTTTCTAACTCTGCTGTTTACCTGTAAATTACAGTAATAAAAATATGCAACAATCTGACTCACAGACATAGTTCAACCTTATATTATCTTTTTTATATATAAAATATTTTTAATATAATTACCTGCTCTAACTTGACAAAACATTGGTGACAGCTAAATATTTTTGTATAATAATAATTAAATATGGGAGACAATAAACTTGAAAGATTACTTTTACTAACAGAGAAAAATCAATATACAATAATTGTTTGGGGTTTTTTGGGTTCCTCATTGAGTACACAAAAATCATCTTCTTAAAAAACAAGCATAAATCTATACAAAACCACAGGAGTTGCACATCAGAGACACACAAGTGGAGGTAGGCCAATCTTCAACAATACAAGTGATTTTATACTATAATAAAGTATATTATTTTGTTGGCACCTTAGCATAAATTTATGTTCAAATACTGAACACATGGTAGATATACGTCCTTAGAAACTGCCAGTCCATTCTGTCACATCACATTATTTATGTTAGTCAGTTGAAGTCAATAATTATGTGCAAACGGCATCCTTCTTGTGGAACAGTCTGCTGTGCCAGTAGTCTGGGTTGTCAAATGAAGTGTTTTGTGCCTCCACTCCAGCACACACTTTTATGTAGGATCTGAGACCAGTCTTTTGTGGCTCCTCTCCCATAACGGGTCTTCCCTTTACCGGAAAGTTCTGATAATCAACCTGATCTCTGTCCTCAGAGCCAGTTCTTCCAGAAGCCTCCATGTCCACATATTCACTGCGCCGTGTAGTGAGATCAGAATCCTCGTTCTCCTTATGTCTTGCACTTACATTTTGGTAAATTGCTTCTCTGCTGTCACGCTCCACTTCATCTGGACTGCTCACGGGACTGTTTTGCTGGGTTATGTCTGTCCGTATGTCCATGTATACATAATCGACCACTGCTTCTTGTGGCTGTGGCTCTGTTGGTGGCTCTTCCTTTACAGGGCTGCTCTCAGACTGGTTCTGGTCAGTACATGTTACTGTTCCAACCAGACTGTATTCACAAGCAGCAGCAGCAGACTCCACAATGTCCCCTTCAGGCGGACTGGCACCCTTATCTGACTGTTCGGTTTGTGTTGAGTCAGTGTCTCTCTTCTGTAGTAAAACGCTGCATGTGTAGGGAGAAGCAGAGGAGGATGGGTTGCACAGTGCTGATGAACCATCAGTGCTGTCTGTGGGTGAAGTAGAAAGCCGAGGGGGCTGTTTTTTCATTAGCTCATACTCTTGTACATCTGTTTTTGGTGGCGGAAGAGCACTCTTGGAGTTTCTGGATGCCCTATCATGAGGAACAGTGCTTCTGGAACCTAAATGAGAAGATATGTCTCATAAAAATGGCATACAGTTGAGTTTCAATAATGACTAAACATAAACTGTGAGTCCAGTATTGGTTTACCTCTTTCTGTAGGCAACACATATCCATAATGGTCCTCGTCTACACCTTCCAGACCTGAAGAAAACGGATCTGAGGCCACAGACACACTGGTGGAAATGTAGGCGCTGTCCATAAGTCTGCGGCCTCTGCGTAAGCTACCTGTTTGAGAAGCCATTTCAATGTCCACCATGGTTCCTCTGCCCTCTGAGCACTCTGACTCTGTCCTCACTGAGCCCGTCTTTCTCCTCTGGGCACTCATCTGTGTGGGAACAATACAAATAGATTACTTCATATATATATATATATATATATATATATATATAGGAGGCTTATTTCCTCCAAGCGGTACGGTTCGATTCAGTACAGCATGGTATGCAATTACGTTGTGGTGCTCTTGTGAACGGAAGACACGAAAGAGAAGAAATTGATGGATAAAGTTGTTATTTTTGTTTTCTTTGCGCAAAAAATTTATTCTCGTAGCTTCATAACATTACAGTTGAACCACTGATGTCACATGGACTATTTTAAAGATGTCCTTACTACCTTTCTGGGCACGTTTCATAAACGTGTCAGTTGCATTGTGTCTATGCAGAGCCAGAAAGTTCATCAAAAATATTTTAATTTGTGTTCCGAAGATGAACAGAGGTCTTATGGGTTTGGAACGACATGAGGGTGAGTAATTAATGACAGAATTTGAATTTTTGGGTGAACTATCCCTTTAACTGTTAAAAAAGTGCTATACAAGTAAATATGACATAAATTGAATTTTTTTTTTTGTAATATTACACTTTAATACCAATGTTTCTCAAAACTGAGATCATATTTCTTTATATTTTCCCTCAGTAACTATTGGTATATTACACTTCTGGAGTCACAAAATGAATTATTAGTTAAGTAATGTCATATATATCAATAAAAACAAGCAGCTTTGTCATTATTACAACGGAATTCCCGGAAATACTGAATATTTGAATATTGTGTGGGTCCTTTGAATCAAAAAGGTTGAAACCACTGCTTAATGCAAAGTCAGTATTTTCTAGATAAATTATTTTGCTCCAGTATGGTAATATGATATATAATAAATAAAACATATTTCATAATATTATAATAATAGTAATGTTGCTTTCACTTACACAGTATAAATGAGTCTTTAAACATAAAAATATCTAGCTGACTTTAGATTTTATGAAAGGGGTTTCTTGCAAGAGGATTATATATGGGGGTCCTTGGCAGCAAACATTTCGCTGATCTAATGCATGTTCGTACTGTGATATAATTTAAAAAGTTAATTTGAGTTGAAAGCTTGAAGTTATATCTATAAGTGTAGTCAAGACAACATGACAAGATGATATGAAAGCTGACCTGTCTATGGTCTTCTCCTGGGGTCATGGGGAGATAGCCTATCGGTGTTGTGTGTTCTGTGGTGCCCTGAAGAGAGAGAAAAATTAAATGCTGTTCTTTTGAACTTTGCAGTCATCAAAGAACCCTGAAAAAAATCAGCATATTAGAATGACTCACGTGACTCTGAAGACTGGAGTAATGACTGATGAAAATTAAGCTTAGTAATCACAGGAATAAATTACATTTTAAAATAGAATAAAATAAAAATGTATTTAAAATTGTAATAATATTTCATAATACTACTGTTTTTACTGTATTTTGTACTGCATCAAATCAATTCAGCCTTGGTAAGTATAAGAGACTTCTTTCAAAAACAAAAAAATCTCACTGAACCCAAACTTAGTGTAAACATGAAAAAAATGTTTGTTGAGGTGTATTGCAGACATCTCACCTTGTAGGAGGCCATACGGAGGCGAGAATGACTTCTAGTTGGTGACAGCTGGAGGGGAGGAGTAGCAAACCCATCCTGCAATACCTCATCATCATCATCATCCTCCTCCAAGTTTGCCTCTAAATGAGAGCTTTTAACATATCGTTGGTGGCTTTCATCTGCACCAACGCAATTCTGAGGAGGCTACATTATGACACAGAAATCAATGTTAAAAGCAATCACAAACCTGCTTCCTGGTGAACATTTTCAAATGAAATCTTGTTTTCATACTTTCACCACAAGGTATCGTGGCGGATCCCTTGCCATTCTCGTAAATTCACTGGCGAGCTCTTTAAATGTAGGCCTTACATTCTCATCAATCATCCAGCCTGAGGATAGAGGGGTTAAAATTGTGTTTAGAAAGATGTTCAGTGCCCTAACAGCGCTTAAAATCATTAAATGTTTCCCAAATGTGTCTAGCATCTGCCTTACACTTGACCATGACCATGTAGACATCTATGGTGCAGATCTGTGGTTGAGCCAGTCGCTCTCCTTTCTCCAGTAGACCTGGCACATCATGAGGATGCATGGATGCATATGGCTCGGCTCCATCTGACATCATCTCCCATACAGTCACCCCTAGAATGAGCAGGAAGAACTTCAAACAACTAAACTAAATCAAACACCTGATATTCAACAGCACTGAGACTCACCGTAGCTCCACACATCACTCTGATGAGTGTATCTTCTGAAGAGGATGCTCTCTAATGCCATCCATTTGATTGGCATCTGAAAAAGAGACCATCTTAAAACATCAACAGATGATGCTTATGTATTTATTACACTTATTTTCATTAAAAAAATAACATATTATCACCCCCTTCACTGGGTGGTGTGAGAATATATACATACATACATATATATATAGCATATTTTGAAATTACATTGATATTACATATTTTATACATATAAAATATAAAATATTTTCATGTATATTAATATTTTGTATTAACAATTTATATTAATTTAATATATTTCTTTTAAAAATGTTATTAAATTTTATACACTACTGTTGAAAGGCTTTTTTAAATTAATACTTTAAGCAATAATGTATTAAATGGATCAAAAGTGACAGTAAAGCCTTTTAAATTGTTCCAAAAATATTCTATTTTCAAATAAATGTTGTTCTTTTGAACTTTTTATTCATCAAAGAATCAATGTATCACAGTTTCCACAAAATATTAAGCAGCAAAACAGCCTTCAACATTGATAACAATAAAAATGTTACAAATCAGCATATTAGAATGATTTCTGAAGGATCATGTGTCACACTGAAGACTTTGCTATTACAAATTGCCTTTTTTAAATATATTATAAGATTTAAAAAAGTAAACAATTTTGTTCAATTATTACTGCTTCACTGTTTTTAAATGCATGAATGCAGCCTTGGTGAGCATACATTAAAAACATAAACAAAATCATACCAAACCCAAACTTAACAGTAGTGTATCAGAAGTTTAATCTGTAAATTACCTTGTGTTCACTGTACACATATTTCTTATCATCTGGATACAGCAGGTCTACCACCCCGAAGTCTGAGATCTGTACTATGTAGTCACTCTTAAGCAGCACGTTTCGTGCAGCGAGGTTCCTATGGGCTATGCAGTGCTCCTCAAGATAATACATTCCCTAAAGATACATACAGATGTTGTGTATAAACATTATGCACCAATACGTTTTGTATTACACGCTATGTCTCATCTTCAGTCATCTCACCTTTGCAATCTGCACACACCAGTTAAGCAGACGCTGGGGATCCAGGCGGTCTTTGTGTTGGCGAAGGTGTTGCAGTAAGGATCCGTGAGGACTGAGCTGGGTGACTAGCTGCAGACTCGTTCCCAGACAGATCCCAAGGAGACGCACTATATACGGGTGATCCAGGCTTCCCATCGCCAGCATGTGCTGTGGACGGGTGGAAAATAGATATGAAAGCATGAAGCAACATATGTATGAATGTACATTATTGCAAGCTATATTGTCTCACATCAGTAATCTCTGTGAAGGTCTGCTGGCCACTGCGGTCCTGGATGGTCTTTATTGCCACAGGGATCTTTACAGAGTCTCTTTCAGGAATCCAAAAGCCCTGAGGATAATGTCACTTAAGCTTGATCACACTTCAGAGAACAGGCAACTCAGTTCAAGATTGAATTGAGCAAAGGCAAACTTAATGTGTGAGTCATTCCAACCTTATTCACAGTGCCAAAGACTCCGTAGCCCAGAAGTTTGCCCTTTCGCAGCTCTTGTGGTTTTAGGATGCGAGCATGCACTTTTGTCCCCTTCTCTCCTGGATCCAGCGGCTCCATGCTCTGTGTGAGGACAGGAGGAAATCCGTCATGTAATATTGATAACCAAGGAAGTACAGTGGCCATCAACAGTTTTTGGACACTATGGTGCAGTTAAAAATGTCTGAGTATCACAAATCCTTTCTGGAGGCAATGTTTATTCAGTTACTCAATATTAATACAATTCAATGTTAATCTAGACTAGCTTTGCTTTATGTACAAAAGTTTGGGGTCGATTTGTTTATGCTTTTGAAAGACTCTCATGCTCACCAAGGCTACATTTATTTGATTAGAAATACAATACAAACAGTAATACTGTAAAATATTATTACAACTAAATGTTTTTGTATTTGAATATATTTTGAAATAAAATGTATTCCTGTGATGGCAAAGCCAAATTTTCAGCAGCCATTACTTCAGTCTTCAGTGCCACATGATCCTTCAGAAATCATTGTAATGTGATGATTTGTTGTACAAGAACCATTTTATGATCAATGTTCATAAATCAGTTATGCTGCTTAATATCTTTATGAAAACCTTGATTTACATAATACATTGTCTTCGGGATTTATTGCCAAATAGAAAGTTTAAAAGAACAGAATTTATTTGAAACAATAACAATTAGTTTTTACTTATTTACTATTACTTTACAGTCACTTTTGATCAATTTAATATGTTCTTCTTAATAAAAGTATTTATAAACCTTACAATAAGCTCTCATTTGTTAACAATGATTAATGCATTAACTAACAAGCTCTAACAATCAACTATGAATTTTTTCAGCATTTATTAACTTTTGTTACTGATCATTTATAAAAATGCTCTCATGTTCATGTTAGTTCCCAGGACATTAACTCATCTAACAGATACAACTTTTGATTTCAATTAATGCTTTTATGCATTAATAAATGTTGAACTTAACATTAACTAAGATTAATAAATGCTGTAGAAGTATTAATCATTTGTAGTTCCTGTTTAATAATGAGGCTAACTAAGGTTAACAAATGAAAACTTATTCATGTTACAAAAGCATGTATTTATTTTAAAATATGTTTTTTTCTGAGCTATTATATAGATTGTAAAGATATATTTAAAAATGCATGGTACCTTCTTTTTACTTTCATGTAGGTTAAGTAAAGTGCTTTGTATTTAAGCAGACGAAATGGCTCACCTCGCCACTCTCCAGGTACCTTCTCAGTGCTCTTTTGCGGCGGATGGCCAGGCCTCTGTGATACAGCAAACCAAGCACAAACAGTGCCAGGAGCACGATGATACCAGCAAACACAGCAACTGATATACCTGCGATTTGAGAACTAAAGAGGAAGGAGTTTGGTTAACAAAAACATAATTGATGTTTACATCTGACGTTTGGACTTTCTGACTGTAACCAGAAGAGGGAGCTGCGAACCTGTTCACAAGTCTGTCGAGCGCTATACAGTTTGTGAGTGCAGAGCCTGTGCATCTGGTGAGGGGACAAAATAACCACAAATTAATTTTTCATTTCATCCACAGTGTTCTCAGAATGAACAGTTGGAACTGACACCTGTAGAGCACATTAGGTTTAGCCTGACTTACCCTCTTGTGCAGTTGAGGTGACAGGGCTCACAATGACCATCTGCATTTGGATATTTAAAAATGGTCTGACCCTTTTCCCCATTCACTCCATTAGGACAAGCAGAAACACAGTGAGGGCCATCCATCAGGTTCGAACATGCTACACACTGATCAGCACCCTGAAGCACAAAAAAAGAAAAAAGACAAACTTATATAAGTTATTTATTAATAGAACAAATATTCCTGTAACTAAGCACCTGTGCTAAGACAAACAGTTCGCATGAATTTCTTTTATTAAGTCACTGTTAAAAGTGATGCATTGCACAATGAACAGTTCTGAATCAAAGAGCCTGCAAAGCCTGTCTGGCAGGTTACTGTAATCAACCGAACATGCAGACATTACACAGAGAGTGTGTGGGTTGGAATTTTTTACCGTAAAATAGTTTTGCTCACATCATTATCATAACACCCTCTAGCACGATCATATACAGTCAGAAAGATGTGAGAGGTTGATTAAAAATGTGTCAAATAGGCACTGGCAAAAACAAAGGCTTGGACATTATAAAGTTTAAGAAAACAAACCACATGGACAGCAGATCTAAGCTAAGGGAAAAATCTAAGCTATTTTCCTATGTTCTCTAAGCGGGGTAAAATCTAACTAAAAGAGGATACGCAGACGGTGCTATTTTATAGACTACAAAAGCTAGGATATGACTTGTGCACAGGAACAGAAACTAGTATCTGAACGTTCAAGCTTTTAATAGAGTTGCTTCATGCCTAAAATGGATTTACAGACTGATAGATGAAATATATTGAGATGAAAGAGGGAGAAAGCTATGGGGCCCCAAATGTGGATGAAATTATCAGAATTGATAAATAAACAAATAAGTCACAATTTCAAAAAAATTATTTAATGTAATTTTAGTGCCACATTTGCGCCAGTGTTATTTTAGTAATGGCCAATCAGAAACGTTTTGTCAGAATTCACTCACCGCTGAAAGCGCCGCAGTTTGTAAGTGCGGTTTTGCACGCTCGTGAATCATCTTATTATTAAGCGCAGACGCGATGTAAATAAGAGATTCTTTGTGCAGTTTAGAGAGCTTCATTGATTATAACTGAACTTTGTAAGATCGCGATGAACGAAGATGAGTGACGCTTTTTAGCGATAAAGGGACCGCACTTTGCACACTTTCTAGTGTAGGCTATAATCCATTTAGAATTTGTATGAAGTTTTCATTTTTCGGACACATAGGCTACACCCTGCAAAGTTTCGGGAATGACATCTGCATATTTATGCGGGATTCACTCTCGAAATAGCAGTGATTGGCAATGGACGGAACATAAATTATGTTGATTTAATTCTGGAACCGGTCCTGGCCAAACCTCCACAGACAAAAACTTTTGAGTAAACTTTATTGAGATCGGGACATATCAACCAGTAATTTCATTTCCAGCAAGGACGGTAGAATGTCACGATATATGACAGAATATAGTCCCACAACAGATCGTTTATTTTTTCCTCACGTGTCTCGCCTTTGGTAACAACGATTCAAAACGGAAACATTTCTAGTGACACGGGAAAAATACACGGAAAACTTCAGTGAACATCAGAAAAGCAGCGTGCACATTTCTGGTTAAAAATGAAAGGCCATCAACAGACAAACGGAAAGCATCACCATTCAAGTCAGCAAGAAGAGCCAAAGCTAGTCCACAGTGTCCTAAACGGTGGCAACCTCTGTAAGTTTTTCTTGACTGTGTTGGATTGAGTGCTTTTATGCGTTGCAATACGGTAGGGCATTGTTTTGATGCTTATATCAGAAAAAATAATCTTTTGCTTTTATTTGTTTATTTCGTATATATATATATATATTTTTTTCTTTTTTATTTGAATATTTTTCATTTTAATTGTATTTTTAGTTATTTTGCTATTCAGTATATTTAGCTTTATTTTTTATTTCAGTTTTACTACAACAAAAATTTGAAATATTGGCAAAAATATTTATATTTTATTTCAGTTTTATTTAATTGAATCAAATTAACAACAATATCAACACCGAAATGTTCCCCCTGTGGACAGCTAGGCTAAGTAAAAGTGTTGCATACTTTTCCTTTGCATGTCCGTTTTCCATTTTGGGGTAAACACTCAGGGTGACAAGCAAGGCACTCTCCATTTGATGCTGCAAACTCCCGTGGCTCTCTGTGGACACACACAGTCCTTCAGACACTGTCCCAACTTTTAATTAACTTACAATAAATCTACCAAGCACACTGACCCAGAGTAGAGGTTGCAGTGGGATACACAGGTGCCATGCCGACTGTGGTTCCTGCACGACAAACACTGCTCAGGCCCCGGGCCCCAACATCCTGCGTCTGAGCACAGTGGGTCACACACATGGCCCTCTTCCTCTGTTTACACGAACACAGACATGTGAAACAAAGGACTGTTTGTGTACAGGTTAACGATGGACGACAAAATAATAACATGCATATGTGAAAGAAGTAGTATGCATTCTTAACTTTACTTACCACACTTGATCTGGGGTTTGTTGTCCTTGATGTCATTATCACAGTTACTGGTGACAATCTGGGTCCAGTTAACGTTGTGATGATAACACAGGTTTTTATTTTGAGTGATGTACACACTGCCATCACTGATTTCACGCAAGGAACGCAGTCCTAGAGACGTGAGAGAGGGAATCTTCATCACCAACAAAGAGAAGGGCCTGATGAAGAGGATGAAATGAATGAGAAATTGGAGCAAAAAAGGGAGAATGAACGAAGGAAGGGACAGATCCACAGTGATTTCCCTTCAGAACTTATATATAAGCACCCGTGCCAGATTATAAAACGAAAGCAGATGAACCATTCATGACCCTGAATATGTGCTCATGCATGCCCCTCTTATCCTTGATGAGTCACAACATGATCCGCGGAATGACGTAACAAAAACTACAGCAACAAGAACACAAACAGAGAACAATCAGTTTAAGCCTAAAATAAAGTAGCATACCAGTAATTTCTCTGACAGTGTTAAACACATTGAGTTTTTCAGGCTCCAGAGGTGGTATGCTATGATAGACGTCTCTGCAGAATAAGAACAGTGTGGATATTAGCATAAACAATTTCAGTAATGGACTCCCTGTGGCCGCTCATCAATCAGCCCTGTTTATTCATCAGTTAATAATATGTGAAATTAATCTAAGCTGAGAAATAGCCTGTGAATCACATGTAAAGGCCTAATTAAAGCTTTCGATGACATTACAGGGCAAAGGTCTAGATTATAGCACAGACTGTTTATGGCACATTGTTGTTTAGGGCTGAAAGAGTTTATTTAAGGAGTGTGTTTATGTGTGTGTCTTACCCTTTGATACCTAAGATCAGAAAATGTAGACTTCCTTGGATCTTGGTACAGTTGATAAAGCTGTCTATGTTACTGGAGTCCACTGTCTGTCTATGATTGGCTCCCGTTCCCTCACATACTATACAGAGAAAGAGGAAAATCTGAGGGGCCACATGACACCAAATGAATTGTATCTTCTTCAAGACTCTGCATTCAGCTGCTGTGGTCCAGTAAATTAATAATGGTTAGATGGACACTTTACCTTTGGGGCACAGGCCAATGCAAGGTTCACACTGCTTAATGCCATTTTTCTTTTTTTCTCTTTTACCAGGAGGGCAACTGCTCACACATGCACTGCCATCCACAATAAAGTG